GTTTTTGCTGCGCTCTGCACAAACAGGAGTGTTTGTGATTATCACTCTGCCCGACAAGACAGATGTAGAAAATCAATACTGGCTCTATGGGAAAAGTATGTCATGTTATAAAATATTCATGTGAATCATCCTGATAGCAACTAGCTTTCCTCCCAAGAGTGTGTTGGTTCTTGAGTTTCACATATATTTCCCAAGCATCCCACTGAAGTCTGTGGAACTTCAAAAACAGGCATACATTGGATTCAGGTTTACTATTACTGATCGATCAATTACAGGAGTATATAATTTCAGTTTAAGTATGTCTTCCAAAATGATTAGAATCCTTAAGCTGTCCACATTCCAAAAAGGCAGACTGAGTATTTGACAAACTGACACTGTTGGAGGAAAAAAATGGTATATTACTTTGACAAAATTTCCCTTGATCAAAGCTATCCACATACAGTAGCTTTTTGTCAAGTATTGTTTCTGGAGGCCACCCTTTAAAGTCTAAAAAGGTGCTTTGTCTAATTTATCAAGAGCAAGTTGTAACTCAGCTGGTTTACTTATATTTTAAGTTCTGATCAAGGATGCCGTTTTTATCCATTAATATAAATGCTGGCTAATAGACAGACAGACAGACAGGCTATAATGTCTAAATCTATATCAAAAGGAACTGGGGTAGCAGGAAAGAAAGTTCGTTCTGGTAGGGGGTTGAGAGTGGACAAGGACAAGAATGTGTGCATGGGGAGGATACTCCTGGTGTTTAGCAATATTCAATAGAACAAAACTATTTTGGGCAAACACTGAACTGACACATTTGTTTGAAACCCTTTCCCCCAAATACTGGTTCCACTTTTAACCATTATCAGTACAATCAGCCTTCAGGAATTCAATAGTATTTTGATAATTACTGGGGAAAAGAAAAGGAATAGAACATGAAATACTAAGAGAGTTTGAATCCAGTATTAACCAGCAGTGAGTATCTTGACTAAAATGGGTTTAGGCCCCTGTTGTATTCATTTAATTTGCTCATCCCAAGGAAAATCCATAATACTGAAATAATTTTTGCAACAAGTTTTTTCTTTTCATCCTTTTTGGAAATAACATATTCCATCCAAGGCCCCAGCTTCCCAAACTGACATTACTCAGCAGCACTCCCTACAGGCCACCATGCAGAAATACAGTCAAAAGTGTTGCCAAGCTGCAGTTGCCCTTTCTTTTAGAGCGAGTCCTTGCTTTCCGCATACTAATGTAAAAGTTTATGGTGGCCAGACTGAAGAAGTGTCTACAAGGGGAAGGAAAGAATGTGGCTTAGATGCAAGTACAGGCTCACAAGCATTAATAATGGAATAATTTGTGTTGCAGCTCTGATGGTACAGTATGTACAGAAAGCAGCTCATAGTAAGCTGTAATACATAATATGCAATAAGCCGAGGGATACTCATGCTCTCATTTTGTCAGTTCACTTGCATGTTTGAAACACAAAACATATATTCATATTGCATGATTTTAATAGGGGCAACGGTGAAATCTAGAGGTGGGTGATTGTTACTGATCGTGGCCCAGTTGCTGTGGCCCTCCAGAAGTGCCTGGACTTCAACTCCTATTAGTTTCTGCCAAGAAGGTAAACAAACATTCCAACCCCACCTTTGCAGAGTTCCACCGTTTCCAACCCTACGCATACAGCTGCATAAATGTATGCTAGAGGCTCACGAAGACCACTGGAAGTAAGAGTTCCAGCCTCTGAAGATCTGGATTCTCCAACTTCAAAACTGGAAATTGTGCATGAGACAGCAATGCCTAAAAGATTCCCCAAGATTGGGAGTTGGCTGTATTTATTAAATATCTTTACCACTACCCTTGCAAAAGGTTTATACTCTCATTAGGAAAAAAATGAGCAATTTTCACACACTGTTAAGTTGTTCATTTTGCTACCCAACATGTTTGGCAGTATTTACAGATGTCTTATTTACAAACTCATACAAGGTACCTTGTGAATGATGAATTGGGAGCATTTTTCACCCTTAAGCCAATACCATTAACTCTTTTCAATTGAACTGACGCTTCTTTCCCAGGTGAATTTCAGCAGAAATGTCCAAGGTGCTAGTATGTGGAATTTTTCCATGCCCATCCTATGGTGATCACATTTCAGGAAATAGCTGTAGATGGCTGAAATTTTATGAATATTTTTTGGGGGAACAAAATCTTACTCAAATAAGCGGAAGTATACCAAATAAAGATGAGTAGCTTGGACTAATCACTATACATATTTTCTGTAACTTATTCTAAGAAAATTTGTTATAAAGTACTTCTATATCCTATTATCCATTTCAAATCCCTTTATTTTTCATTAGATAAAACTTGTGCTGCTTGAATTTTAAGAAGAGTTTTATCTAAACCTGCTGGGTTTGATTCTTCTACTGTCTTCTGCTATACAGAATCATATTTGCCTATGGCAGGCTCAAGTTTTAAGCTAAGTAATTATTTTACGTTAACTGATCTAGCATATGTAGCCCTACCTTTCCCAGTAAACTGACAAGAGTCCAAGAGCTAAGCCTGGTTTATTAGGCACTTTGGAGGAAACTTCTTGAACTCAAAAGTATCCTAAGTAGCCGTCTAATCTGCTTCTAGGCTGGGCTAGCTCTGGGCTGGTGCCATCTCTTTCCCCCTGCAAAAGGATATTTACACTTTTCAAAGTTCCCTCGTATTTCTATCATCATTCAGCATGTATTTTAAATCACAATAAAGCAGCAAGCTCATCTAATACACTGATTTTTGTTTACTTACATTAAATACATTGGTAAATCAGCAGCTGAATTCTGTTACCATGATTTGTTATTTTAAATGCAATAGAAGAGGTTTCTCAGAAGAAGAAAAAAAAGAATTCTGATCAGATGAGAAGAGTAAGTTGAGGAAAAAGGGGGAATTGCTCTGTTAAGAAAAAGCTGCAGTGTCCTCGCTTGGTCTAGGAGTTAACAGAGAAGCAGTAAAAACAAGTTGTGGGCAATAAATGGGTTTGTTTCTTAAATATGAAATCGACTTTTCCACTGCCATGAGCTGAGCACAATGCAGTATTTCAGCTTTATTGAAGAGGGAGAGGACATGCTTACTGACTCCTCCTGGGTCCTCCACAATGGGTGCAAGTGTCATTTTATGTCCATGTAATCAGAGCACCGTCAGCGAAGAAGAATTTACAGTTAATGAATCTGTAAGTACAACACTCCATTTCAGGGTTCAGGCAGAACTATGGGGGTTCGAACAAAAAAGGGATTAGATTTGAAACAAGCCTTAGGAAGTACTGAGAAATGCTTAAGGGAACATAGATGATCACAGACAGACTATATGAATCTTTCTAGAGAAAAGCCACATTAAACCCGAAGAGGTAACTGTGTATGTGAATTGGGTGAGGGAAGATGTTACAGCACATACAACTTAACTCTGCAGCTTCTTGCTGAAGAATTAAAGCTACAGGCTAGTTTGACTCCACCATTCATTGCTTCCAGCTCAATAAAGCCACCACCAGAGATAGCTAGCCTTTATAATGGCAGCATAGTAATGCTGTATGCCAGCAGCAGTGCAGAGTTTAACAGTTTCCACATAAGGCTACAAGGTGGCTTAGAATTTAAATGCTAAATGCTCACACTGATTAAGTGGACATCAGTACTTAAGTTACACCAGTGAATGGGAGAAAATGCAAGCCTTTATATAGAATACAAGAGGAAATTATGTGCAAAACACAGTATTAAAATGCATGGGGAAATAATGGAGAAAAGATGTGCTTGTGTGTGTGTTTATAAACCCATGTCAAGCTGTCGTGGTAGAACATTCAACCATGTGAGAAATTTGCATGGAGTAGACATAATACATCCAAGAAATGCTCCTAAAACCAGATCTAGATAGCACCGGGAAACAGCTCCTCTTCAGAAACTGTATTCAAGTTTGAAGCATGAAAAAACCGAACACTTAGGGGGAGAGCGTGGGGCTGGATGAATATGTTATTAACTTAGTAAAGGCCACGGTTGAGAGGGGAGACAGTTCTTATAGGGAGAACAGATTGTTGCTGGCTATTTGAGAGAGGGTGGAGTACTTTATTTTACAGTGCAGCACTATCTACAGTTAAATTTTAAAAGCTATTACTTTTGTTTAGCTAATAGCAGGAAAGTAAAAATCCCAGAGTCACCCACCTCCTTAATTTTTTGTGTTTGCAAGCACAAAAAAGCTGTTAAACAGTTCTCAAGTTTAGATGGCCTTTGAGGTCTGAGGGATGGAATTGCTCAAGCAGCTACTCAAAGTGCCACTTCTCAGCAGTGTTACAGAGCCAAGACTTGTATGTGAGGAAGGATTCAGAAGGCAAAAAGCTTGGTGCTTCTCAACAAGGAAAACATACCGAGTACAGTACTAGTCTTCCTGCTGGCAAATCTTCCCAACAAGAGTGCTGCCTTTTTTTCTCATTTCTGCATCCCAATCATGTAGCTTAAAACTTCTAAAATCTGCAGTGACCCTTGGGAACTGTCTCTATTCAAGTTCTGCTAAGGACACATGGACTTTTTTCCTTTTGGCAATTTAGAACACCTTCCTACTTAATGGACAAATGTTGTGTATATGTTACTGCAAGGTGCAGGCTAAGTGGAAAGAATCTATTCAAGGAGAATCCTGATGCAGGGTCCAAGGTAACAAAGAGAACTTAGTCTTCTTTGTACATTATTTCTACAGACAGTGATTCTATCTTTCTTCACCTAATGGGACTGACAAATGAACGTTAATAGAGGAGAGACACTGTAGCCTTCACACCAATTTTAAAAATCATACTTATTTCCATTCCCCCTCCCCCCTCCCCATACGGTCCTGGCCAACAAAAAAAATATAAGGCATCAATCAAGAGCAATCCAAGGGTCCTGAAAAGTATTTCTTATACTCTACATTTATAACCATTTCATTCTTGTATTCATGGCACTGAGACATAGGACCGCTCTTGTGCCATAGCCAGGAAATCCAAGCAAATACCATCATCCTCTCCAATCTAGCTATAAAACTCGGCCCTGAAAAAAGTTAACTGAGGACACTGCAGCTTTTCTGAATATGGAAAATGAGTAAGAGAACTCCTAAGAAGATCTTCTCAAAAAACTGTGCATTTTTTTGAGAAAGTCAGTTAATCTTGCTCTTAAAAAATAAATCTACAAGAATTATGCTTCTCCTTGCTTGTGACTGTCCCCCAGATTATTAAAGAAAATGAAGGAAAGAGGAGGTGAAGGGTGGTGGTGGATGTTATAGGACTAAGAACACATATTTTATCAGAGCAAAGACAGTGTGAATGTGTATGGGTGTACGTGCGCTGGAGGGATAAGAAATGGCAAAGGAAAGGAGTATTATCAGGGAGAAAACAGAGCAGGGGGATCCAAATAAGTAGGTAGCTATTTGCACCTATAATACAAAGTGAATAAGAGTTTGTTTTTGGAAGTTAAGTCCCTGGTCGGTCTATCTCCACTTTCCTTTGGGTGGTGATAACAGACGTCTGGTGATGGTTTCTGAAGCATTAGATGTGCAGTTAAACGGAGCTCTCAGGAGACGGAGGGGACGGCTTCCAAATGTGCCAATGCTGTTATTGGAGGGGAGGTGAGGTGGAGTGGGGTAGAAATGGAGATTATATCTTATCTCTTGCTGCCTGAACGCCACCATTCAGTTGCTACAACACTGGCTCTTGTTCTGCTGGGACTGCTCGTGAAGGTCCACACCTCGCCGCCCCACAGCACCACCTGTGCTCTGGGGCTCACTCTTTGGCAGCTTCTTAGCTAGAAGAACAGACAAAGATGTTACTGAGGGAAAGTAGTTACTTCATTTAATCCTATAGAGTTCTGAATAAATAAAATACATATGTACCGCAGCTATATGCTACTCCCCCATTACTGGCCTTCATCTGACAAGTTAAAACTTATTTTAGAAGCATGCTTGGGGCCCCTGCTGAACTAGGATTGCTTTTCTACCATCGATTTGTTTTGCTTGAATTACTTTATTGATTATATGTTGTTTTATTCTATAATTCACCTATATTTAAATATTAATATATAGTAACACATGTTATTAATCCATTTATGTATCAACTTTTAGCCTTCAAAAACCCGTCTTTGAAGACAGTCTACCACACTAAAACACAATAATCAAAAGTAGAGAGAATTAAGGTAAGCCATCCACATGAAATGACTTGATATGAACATTTTAAATAAAATACTTCAGGCTAGTTAATACTAAGCATTCTTCTTTCATATGCTTTCTCATGCACAAGTCTAAGGCACTTGCTAGACAATCACAGATGTAACAGGCGGGATGTAATTGAACACTGTGGCATCCACAGCTTGTGCAATCAGAAGACAAAACAAATCTTACCCAAGACTTATCAGTCACTCACTCTGTACACCAAAAGAACTCATCCTTTTCTTCTGGAATTATTTAGAACATACTAGACATGAAAGTTTCTTTTTGCAAATTCATCTACATTTAACTGTTTAAAGCAGGGGTTTTCAAACTTCTCCAGGCTGTGGAAACCTTTAGGTACAAAAAAAAAAAAATCCCAGAGCCTCTGATCAAGAGGCAAAACTGTAGTGATAGAAAACTGGCTGTGCTTAAGTAGACATCTCTTATGGAATCCCATCAAGTTCTTGCACAACCCTAGGGTTCTGGGGACACAGTATGAAAAACCCTGGTCTAGAGGACATTCCCAATGAGTTCTCCACAGTGTTGATACTGCTGAAGCTTAGTACCAGCAATGTCAGGTTTCTGCAGCACTGGCTAACCAAATGGTCCCTGCTCTTACATGACCAATTATTGGAATAAAAGCAGTGAGCCTAGGTATACCAAAATAGCAGGTTTGCACTAAACTACTTGCAATATTTCCATCCACCATGGAAATAATGAAATTAAAGTCAAAATAGATATTGCATTGAATGCTAAATAGGTATGATCACATAAAAACCAGAACTGCAAAGGGTTGTAATACAGAGAAGTGTTATACTTCTACCTAAGCTGGAATTTATAAGGGGCCAGCTTAAAACAACCCCCACCCCACCATTCAAACTTGGTTAGGTGGGGTGATGGTAGTATTTCTTTAATTTTTGGTCAATAATTTGATAAATGCATAATTATTCACGCCAGAGGTACACATTGTATGATCCCAGGATTGCATACAGTCCCAGGGAATTCCAAAACTTGTTCCAAAATTGTAATTTAATTTGATGGGGGGGGATTATTAAATACATGACTGGAAAATCAATTATATCTAAGGCCAAATTAAATAATTTAATCTCGCCCACCCCTTTTTGGAGCGTAACTCTCAACATACCATTTAAAAGCCAAGTGCAGATCCTGGCACCAAAAAGCTGTACACTGATGATTTATACAGAATAGGCTGAAATAAGAAATTACAGCCCTTATAAATCCACTTGCTAGCATTGAGCAAACCCTGAAGAGAAACCAATAATCTTTTGCTGTCCCCTGCTAGCTAACTAGGCTCAAAACTTAAATTTACAGATGACTTCATCAGTAAAACAGCTGAGGTCCTCAGAAGGCACAAACTCTGAGGACAGTTAGAAAGTATAGCTGGTATCTGTCTCACTTTCTCCTTCTTGAGAATGCTAAGAACATGAAAGCCATTTTGGGGGAAATGAAATGTAAGCTCTAAATCAGGGTGGGGAGCCTGTGACCCTTCCGAAATTGCTGAACTATGGTTGGAAGTCTGCAACCAGAATGGCTAATGGTGAGGGATGCTAAAAGCTGTAGCTGGGCAACTTCTGGAGGACAAGTTTCCCCATCTCTGCTCTAAACTGTAGGCCATGAGTGTGTAACATAAAGCCTATAGAAATAGTTGCAAATAGCTCTCCCTCTCTTCAGAAAATATTTGCATCTATTAAAACAGGTTAGCTAGAGAATATTTCCACATATGTGCTCTAATCAGCAGTTATTTGCAAATATCTTTAAACAAGAGGAGGCAGTTTCACATGAAGGAAACAGCTATCCATCAAGATGGATAGTTTGATGTGAAACCAATCCATCTGAACTTTGTTAAGTCAGAGCCCTTAGTAAGTAATGTAATGAACGCCTTGCACATTACCTATTGCGAGGAAGAGATCATTAACGTTCATTGCTGTCTTGGCTGATGTTTCCATAAACAATAGACTGTTGTCATCTGCATAAGCCTGGGCCTCCTGCAGGACAATAAGACAAAGAAGTACAGGCTGAACTTTAGACAAGTTTAAATGCTCTAAATTAGCCAAAGCAAAGTGGACAACATTGTTTACTGTTTAAAATACAATATTCTCAGAATGGATATCTCTGAGGAATAGCAATAAATGGGCTTGGGCAATTGGGAGGGGAGAGCATTTTGTCTTTCCTAACAGAACCACTAGGATGAAATAAGTTAACTAGAACCCCCATTTCAATCTAGAGCAGGGTTTCTCAACTTTGGCACCTTTTTATCCCCCTGTCGCTTTTTCTCCCCCCCTCACCCACCCCCCAGGCCCGCGTGAGGATGGTGGGGGTGGTGAGAAACTTCGCATATCTCTCTGTG